TAATAAAGTTGGAAGGGACCTTGGAGGTCATCGAGTCCAACCCCCTGCCCAGGCAGGAACCCTACACCATTTGAGACAAACGGCTGTCCAGTCTCTTCTTAAAAACTTCCAGTGTTGGAGCATTCACCACTTCTGGAGGCAGGTTGTTCCATTGGTTAATTGTTCTAACTGTCAGGAAGTTTCTCCTTAGTTCTAAGTATTTCTAATAATAATTATGTATGAATGTAAATAATAATTTTTCACTTTAGTTTAAATACCCTTTTTTTCCTATTAAAGATGTACTGCACCAAAAGATGACCGAGACAAGTGCTACTGCTCATATAGGTGGTGTTAATATTGTTCTCCTGGAAGGGATCACACCAAATATCCAGTGAGTTCAAATAAAAAGTGACATTTGAATTGTTATTTATAAAAACCGAAGTTATGCCCAGTATAAAGGTTAGGTCCAATGTTCCTAGTAATTGAATTGCATTGAATTTTGTTAAGGACTACTGTATGCAGACAAAATAAACAATGGCAGAAATGATACAAAAATGCCTTTTATCTTACTTTTAGAGTTAACTATAGAAGTTAACAATAATCATTACAATGAGTCAGATATTCATTAATATTAATATGATAGCTAGAGTCCAAGATTTTCCTGAACAGGTGGTACGTATCAGGAAGTAGGTAAAGATTCAAGGACCATTTTGATGCAACAAGATTTTAATTAAATCATTAAACTATGTTAATCCTGCCACGGTTTAATTTGATATCTCTAATATATTGTCTTTTGGTCTTTTTTTGTCTAATGTATTTAACCTAACTATAACAATTCAGTTTCAACCTATTACTATTTGTTTCTGATGATCATGCTGCCATTATTGAACACTATAGTAATTTATAGTTATGGAATTCTTGGCCAGAATAATTAAAAAACAGTTATTTTTCTTAATATAAACATACTTTTACTGGATTCTTTTTTGACAAATTCACTAAATTACGTGTAGGATTTCCTAGAAAAACTTTTTTTACAATGCAGTGTGCTTAATTGAACTAATTATATTTTTAGATAGTTTTAAAATACTGTATTGCTTGGTAACGAATCATTTAACTTTGATGAGGTTTATCTGATGTTAAAACACTTGTTTCCATTTTTGTGCATATATGTCCTTGAATATTTTGCTAATTTCATTTTGCAATAGTGGCGAATATCTATAGCTCGGATGTAGGATGAGAGTGAAGGTTCGTTCTCCAAACATGTGGGTTGGTTTCTGAACATTTCATTAAGTTCTTATAAACAGAAGAACACTGACATCCCCTAAACCAGTGCGCGGATGTAGGAGGTTTTTTTAATAATAATAATAATAATAATAATAATAATAATAATAATAATAATAATAATAATAATAATAA